TTAAATCCACCCCCCCCCCCCCGCCACGTTCCCCGCCTGAGGGGAATTGTTTCCGCTACTGTCATGGGTGTGGACAAAATGGCGGAGATGTACAATATTTTTGAATTTTAACCAATCCCTCTCGTAAACATAGGCGCCGCCATTTTTAACCACAACTGAAATCACAGTGGTGGGGGAGGGATTTAACTTTAACCAAGAGTTAACCATAGTTAGTTTAACCAAAAAACTGGCCCTAGATGTTAGTGACGCAGATAGGTACTTTTTCACCCGACCACCTGAATTTTATCGTAGACACCAAGAGTTCCCGTCTGTAGCCCCCAGTGGTTCACAAACGAAACACTCAGCTAGTGAGTAGTAATTGGGGAATTGTAATGACAATAAATTGTTTTTATGTATCGTTTATTCAACGTAAAGTTAGATACTACAACTTTGGTATAAAAACAAAACTGTGGCACTGAACATAGATAGCCGATTGATTGCAGTCCCAAAATTAAGAAAATTCAGTATATCCAGGATCTACGAATTCAATGATAATCGAAAATTGTCAACTACATTGAAAGGGGATTTGGAACAAGAATTTATTCAAACAATCCTTGCCCGCGATTGATAGTGTAACGAATAAAATACGGACAACTTAAAGTGCATACATTAATCGCACGTATAAAAAAATGATGCTTTTACACTAAGAAGCAGAAGCACTTTCAAAATTGGCAGATCATGAAACGTTGATATCCATTGAATGCGCTTAACATACTTCACATAATTTTCATCGAATGGATCCTTGAATGTGTCGGGTGCAATTTGAAGTAGGTATGTGTATAATATAATTACGTTTCATTTTCCACTTTTCAATCATTTAATCTTAAATAATTAGGAATCGAAAGGGGGGCTGGGGAGTGAATGATGGTTTTTGAACATAACACATATGAATGAGTGAAAAGTTTTCCACACATTACGAAATTAAGTCGTAATATCTATTACAATTGTACTCTTATTCTAATTCTTGTTTACTTCTGTTTAGTATAACAGTTGTAGTATTATTGGCATTAATATTATTTATTATTATTAATAGGAGAGCGAACAGCTATATCTTGGGTTGCACGATTTTTGCTTAACACATACACGAGACACGAACAAACTTGCTCAGCATTTTTTGTAAATCACATTGATTAGAAAAGAATACGATGGAACCGAAGCCGGAGAAGGAGGAATTGTTTAGTAATTCATTTTGATCAATCGATTTTCTAAAAAATAATTCTAATGATTGGCTATTTATCACTCAAGTCTCAAATGGCCAATATCGAAATTTTCCAAACGTCATTCATATGTTATAATGAATGAAAATCTAGTCATCATTCCTCATTCCCCTAAACTCGGAGTGCGGCAATTTTGCATGAATTACCGTCCGACTCATTTGTAAAAACGGCGATGAAATAAATGCGACCCAAATATCTACGTTAAATATGCTAAAACGAGTATCAAGTGTTTTGTTGTCAAGATAAATACGAATTTGGAGAATTACTACTGCAATTTGCATTTATCACTCAATTAATGTTTGATCATGTGAATGATGAATCCCGTTTCGATATTGTAGTTCTCCTTTTCGTTATTTACCTTCTTACCATTGAGTCCTATTCTACATATGTTCAACCATGAATAATATCAATGTATATCAGACTCCAATGGCTTGAGTCTGTTAAAAACTAGTTACATCATCGTCGCATTTATTATAATCAATCAATTGTTATTTATATATTATAATATATTTATATTTTATGTATAATTGTGAAATGGTGCAAGGAATAATGGATTAAATATTGGGTGAGGAGAGGCGTCGGATCCATCCGGCGGACAAAATGGTTCTCAATTTTCCTCCCAATTCAGATGTCTTTAAATTTTCTTACACCTCTGATTCTCATACAAACCAACTTGTATGACGTTCCAACGTGACGGAAGAACATGTGTGCGAACGGACGACAATAACGACAACTTTTTGGGTAATTCTACATGATATCTAGAGCCTCAAAAGACTTAAGCATTATTAAGGGGCATCCGCGTCTTTCTTCGATTTATTATTATTGTTTTTAATTTATTTTGGGTTCTCAGCAGATGCACAACCTTCGTTACGAAATAATAGGAAAATTCAAATGAATATCTCATTTATCGTTGAGTTTTGCCTACAAGAGAGCGGCAGTGTGGCACAACCATGGTCATAAGGAGCAACCAATTCGTTTTGTTATCTCTACATAGTTCCGAAATCCTTTAGACCTAAAATACATGTTACTCATTTCCTTAAGCGCAATCCCTAGTTAACGATGATGATCTTTCCATTTCTTGGTTTGTTTTGTTGGATCTTCCATTCATAGTCGTCATCAGGATAATGAAAATAAAATTCAAGATTGCGCATTATGAGATATAAAAAAAATTATCACACGAATAACCAATGTATGTGTATAGTATAAATATACATAAATTCTTAATCAAAACCTATCTATCAAAGATGGTAAAAGGTAGACTAATGTCAATCGTTGTAAGGGAGGAATAAAAATTTGTTTTATCATTGATTACGCGTGATGTTAATGATGATTATAACGTATATCAATCTCGACGTTGCAGTCGATGACGGGAGTTGATTGTTTAGTTGATGCAATTTGGGAGATATTAATTTTCGAGACGAATAATAATGGTTTATCAACGATTTTACAGATTACACTGCCACAGTATCGTAGGGTGTGAGGAGTCCCCCGTGACTCCCGTGGGAGGAACCTGCTTGCCTGCCGGTGACTTCGTTTCTGTAAAATGAATTCAATATAGTTAACATATACTTCATGAGAAATCAGTTTAAGGTTTTATGGAAGATTGGTTTTTCCATGGAATTGAAAACCTGGATCTTCACAGAAGAACAGCAGCACCGGCACCAGGGACTATGGTTAATGAGTACAAACTACTTAAGTGAATTAGTGATTTGTTAATTTTCTGCCAATTAGTCACAGACATACAGATGATTTATGAAATGATCCTGGAAATCTGTACACATGCATTTCTCTGGACAAATTTGATTGCTGTTCTTAAGCATTGTAAACGGAACGTTTTTCCATTGTCCAATTTTGTGTCGAAATAACCGTTGAAACATTATAAAACGAGACGATTTATGTGTTGGTGATTCCTTTTATACATTTGAGCAAAAAGCTATTAAAACACTGGAAAGTAATTTATGAAGTTCACAAAATTCTGCATACCCAAAAAACACTAAACCATCAATTTGTCGATAATCTACGAGTGTTAAGGGCAAATTACTCAAGTAAAAATGGTTTTCTTGACAATAGTCCCATCAGAGTTATTGATGATGAAAGTGGTCAACCAAATCAATTCCTATAATGGGCTTTGCACTTTGAATAATTGAATAAATGATAATATTATATTTGCTATGCAGGGCATTAAAAATGAATGTAAAATAAAATACAATAATATTATCAAAAGTCATCAAAATCAGTCATCAAATTCGGTCTTTTGTCGCTGAATTCTCGACTAGAAAAACCGAGGGAAAAATAATTGGATGGATTGCTGATCGTCACCGTAGTATTAGCCCCCAAATTTAGATGCATCGGTAGGACTTGATTAAAGAATGTGAAGTTGACAGACCCTTTATGAATCATACACACAACTTCCCTTTTGATAGTTGGATTCAAAGATGCCCGAAATACAATCTGCTATTCTCAAACGTTTTCCAGGAATTTTAATATATTCATCCAACAATTAAAGGACGACATTTCAATCGTATCTCTCTTTTAAGAGCAATCAATGGCCAAAATATTGATTCTGTTATCCATTTTCATATGATTCTGCAATACTATTCCGTCCTGCGATATTCGAAATTTTGTATGGATATACAATACTAATTAATTTTTAATTTGAAAATCTTTCCATATTATTATACATTAGACCTATTTCATTGGAAAAAATTCACAAAATCATTTGCAACTTTGCTTTCAACTTCTCTCCAGTTATATACCGCTTATCTACTAATTTCACACAGTGACGGACATCAAATTATGATGATCGCATATGTATGGATTATCAGGATCATTATGGGATTGACATGCAATGAGACATCCTTCCTTGAATTTTCCATCTAATTTGCAGATTATTGCAGTTGAAAATATGTTTGGATTTTCTGATTCTTCGCTTGTGATAGCAAAGCTTTTTTCGGAGTTTCCTTCTGGTTTTCAATGCAAACTTATCCCCAAGGGAAAGAGAGAGTGGACTTACGAGTTCCTGATAAGTCATGAAACAATAGAAACATTAGGAGACGTATTAGAATGAGAGATCATCATTAGAAACAAAATTAATGATGTGATGACGAGATGAAATGATGGCGAAGCGATGACAGAATGAGAAAATAGTGTTAGTAGCTGCAGCAAACGGTATTTTTTCAGACTCGCATTTCTCTTGAACCTTCGATTTCAAGAAAATAAAGAGTGAGAAGAAACTACCGGGGGCGTAGAAAAACGCAACCCCCTTTAGCATTAATTCTCGAATTTTCCCCACGTGAGAGTTACTGACCTCTCAATAAGCTTGCGCATCTCCTCGGTAGTCATGCCATCCTTGCCGCGGGCATTAACTGTAAAAATAGACATGCTAATTTGACACAGCGGTTCACAAATACACACATAAATCATGCGCCGTTTTGAAGCAACTTTGAATTATTATCGTTTTGCTTCGACCCTGGAAACCTGTTGACTCGTCTGAAATTATTTTCTTCAGATTAAAGTCACAAATGATGGAATATTTTTCAGTGGAGTTAGAGACACATGATTATTAAGCAATTTTGAAAAAACGTTCAGCTGCAATGATCAAACGATTCTTTCCTGAAACTTACAGAAAGTAGTGCTACACCTCAAGAGTGGTAATAGAAATTGAAAAAACTATACATGTCCTAGATGATTGAAATTCTATACTGTTATAATCTGATTATGAAAATAGTTAACTAATGTACGAGTGACAAAGGAGAGACGTGTATTACACTCATCAAATATATACACGTTCTGTCTTCCGTTTTTTCTTCCATATGGAAGGTTTGCTTCCGTTCGAATACAAGTTTCTAATTTTTTTGCATCAGGGTATCTGAATATGGTCTAAAAACATCTGGTTGGCTGTATCGCTGATACAGCCGTAAGTTTTGCATGGATACGTCTATGTTACGTAGATGCTCGGGAAATTAGAAGAATGATACGAATTAATGTTTCAAACTGAGTTTATTAAGTATAGGTCGATGATAAGAGAAGCATGATGCATAACGAAATAATTCGATATTTAAACTACGTGTGAAAGTTAAATCGAGATGAGTATTGCCTAGAGTTGTTGGGGGAGTTTGGCAACACTCTAAATTGAAGTTTTCTTTCATGAAATTCAATAGAGATTCGTTTCTATAGATATCGGAGTTGAAATCTCCACATAAAATGATTGGCGTTTCAATGTCAGGTTCCATTAATCGGTAGAATGAATTCCGTACTCACCGACTTAGTTTCCCTATACGCCAACAGATGGCGTTAGTAAATATCTACCTATGCACAAAATGCCCCTCAAAACGAAAACATAGACGTATCCACGTCAAAAGTGCAAATATGCCATTTTTAAATTATGTCCGTATATATGTACTGTAACGTGGTCATGACGTCAGCTGAGAAGTCGTTTCACTAGCGACGCGAGAGTCATTTATGGGTCATTTTGGATCGCTAATTCAATAGAATTTGTTTCGTATCGAATGAATTCTCAGCCACTTATCGGACCACATCGAGGATGGAGCTGGAATCAAGATTTCGGAATGAAATCGGAATGAAAATTTTGAATTATGAGTATTCCGATTGATCGAAGCGGAAAATCTTTTATGGCGAACAAATCTTATTTGTGTGAAATATCTTCGAATTCGACTGTTTAAGTACCAATGAATATCACGATGTTTGGAAGATTATTCTTGTTGACCTACCCTTATAAATAAAGCAAGACCGCTAAATTCTTCATAAAAAAAAAACTTTTTACGATGAATTAGTACCCACCGCCATAATTACGATTCATCTGAAGTTGATCACGATCACACTCAGCTTCACTAATCTCATTGCTTTCCTTGCTATCATTGAAACTCGAGTTGTTCTGGTCATGGTTCCTTGGTGGCGGTGGTGGGGGTTCAGGTGAGTTTGAGAGTGGAAGATTACGAGCAGAACCAACACTGCGACGTCCAACAGAACCTCGCGATCCGTAGTGATCATAAGGAGCTCCATACTGTCCATACTGAGAACCATATTGATCCTCTTCAGGAGCGCAATTGGCAGGGTCATCGTATTCTGGAGAGAAAACTGTCTGGCCTCCTTGAGATGGGACTCGCGAATATCTACCGTTTTGTCTTGGCTGCAATAAGTTACAGCCGATTAATTTCACTTGAATTCTGCTATAGTATTGTTATTTCAAAACGTGTACTAAACATTATTCTTCATTTACGCTTTAATCAAGTTTTTATATAAATTCCTTGCTGTGAAATGAAAAATCTAGAGATTGAATAAGTATAATAATACGCAAAGTAATTTTCATGCAGAATTGAATTTTGCACGCTTTTCATTTCTCAAATTTCACCATTACCATTGATTGAGATCCAGAGCGACTGTGAGCAGATGCATTTGTTGGATGCCCAGCTGGGGGTCCCATGGTACCAGAATGTCCATTGGCAGGATGTGGGAATGTCTGGAATTGCATTGCCTTGCTTGGATCCATTTCCTCTCGGAAGCCAAGTAAATGGAATGTTGCGTACGGACAAATTTCATCCTCCATACCTGAAATTGAAGAACTTACTCGGGTAGATACTGCCTCTGATTTAAGGCGAATGTGATTGAAAGGATTTTCTATACTGTTTATCCCTCGCTCGTCTCGGAATTCGTATTCCATACTTCCCGAATTTTTAAACGTGAAAATCACTACAGAAAAATCATGTCCAAACTATTTGGCTGAGATGAGGTTACTCCTCGTATCGGCTGGTACGAGTAAACCCGTCAGGCCAACAGTCTGGAAATGATACTATTACAGAGATGTATTTAATAAAAGATATCTTTTTAAAAAATCTATGCACATTGTACATACTATTCACTATTTACTAAGTTCCTTACATAATGCTCTTTTATTTCATGACATTCACCTCTAGACGAAAATACATACTGGAATCCCAAGCTTTAACTATTGTGAGATTATCATAATGCAGAATTAATAGACAGCAAAGGTTTTGATGAGTTATTGAAAACATGCAAACGTGCAACGAGGACTTAGCTTAAGAAGAAGAAACTGGTGAACATTAATGAAGAACTTACTGATTACTCATGACGTCCTCCGAATTGACATTCAGTGACGGGCGAATATGCAAAAGACTTACAGATTTCGACACAGAAGTGATTAAAACTATCAGTAAGGGTTCACTTGAGTTGTTATTACAGTTTGCAAACAATTATTCCTGGATTAGTTTCTCATTTACATTTTTTTAATAATTCTAAGAAGTCGAGCTCTAGTAATCCTCATGGCCAGACAATACCACCCCAACATTCGGTTGTTTGATCAAGTACCTACCTCTGTGAGATAAAGCATCTGTACTGCCCATGAGCGGTGGCGGCGGACACCTTCGATTCGGGGCACAGTGCGACAGTTCTTCGTACATGTGACGCCGTGGATCCCACGTTGAATGACTTCTAAACGAGCCTGTCCCACCTGTTTCAACATATGCTACACAACGAACGTCGTACCCCATTGCATATACCAAAATCAATTTTTTTTTTCACCTTTTCGATGAATTATGATGCTTGGATAATGATAATGGACCATTTCAATAATGAAGAGATTCATCGTAATGTTTCAAATTTTCTATTCTTGGTGATCATGCATTCATCCTGCGAAGTTATGATTCTTGGAGAAAATCTTGATCTCCTTATGATTTCACAAGCAATTCATTGTAGGATTAGAGAAATGCTTGCAATTATTAGGGTTACACCACAAAATACAGACAACGCTAGCAACAATGAGAAATTATCAGAACTCGCTAAAATGATTACGTTATGCGTTGTACTGGCTATGCCACAAAGGAAAAAAAAACTCCAAGCCACGAAACGCGAGGAGAGGCACCGAGGAGAACTTCATAGACATAAGAGAGTTAAAATGTTTCTTCCGTAGTTGGAAATCTTTGCAGTTTGCGAAAAGTCGCTTAACGTGACCTTTTGCAATTCCTTTTTTCTCGAAATAATTGGATCTGCATTAAAAAAACTGAAAAATCGACTTTCCATACTTCACGTTACTCTTGCTCTGAGAAGTTAAGTATTATCAGTATAAAAAAAATATTTTCCAGACATAGAAAATTATCTTAATAGTTAAAGAGTTGAAGGGTTTTAACACATTTTATTCCGCAATCACAGTATTGCATATTCAACGAAAATGTCATATTTGACTCATTACGCTGTCCCCCTTCATTACGGAACAGAAAACTCTTCGCTTTTAAATTTGTTCTGTAAGTATAAATTATCCAACCATAAAGTCATATGCGATAATTAAAAGCAGATTTTGGTAAAGTACAATAGGTCTTCATAAGCTTAAACAAATTAAAAATAGTCAGCGTCTCCCGTAACTCACTAGTAGAAAAAAAAATAGCAACTAAAATATAAAGGTGGCGAAGCACCAAAACTCTAGCGATCACGTGATATATATTTGCAGGTGCAAGATTTATAGTTGTATGTACCAGAAAATTAGAGTATATGTTCACCGAGTTTAGGAAAGTTAACTAGACTAGAGACTGGGAGTATAAAAATAAACGATCGTGCCAATGCAACATCCAAATGGATCGAGTAAATAATTATCTAGGAATGATCGGAATGTTGAAAATGATGGCTTACTTATAACTGTACCTCGCTTGATACGATCACACGTGTTGTAATTCGAGCCAGGTACAGGTGGTAATTTACGATTTGGTGGGGCGATGTAGCCGAGTTCGTCACGGAGGTCGGGCCTTCGTTTGTCTAGAGTAGCACCGATAGCACCAGTCTGCTGATAAACGACATCATCTAAAAGAAAAATCGAATGAATTGAAAAATATTTCCCCAGAGGTTATTAGGAGATCCAAAGGCTTGAACCATCAAATGAATTAGAAATTGTCCGAACCCTCTCAATTCGACATCCAAGATAGATTTTGATGGCTTCAAGGTGAATAACCAAAAATTTGGCTATATCAATGGGGCGTTCCATGTGAATTCGTCAGAGCTGAAAGCTCAAGCTCTTAGATTTGCTTAGGGATGACATTTACTATTCATGACATGAATATAAAATATCGTATCTTTTCGTTTTTATTTATTTTTAATTGACCCTTTAGCTGAAATCATGCTATAAAATGTTCACCTTTGGACGGAATTTTTAGCTTCCGGTGTTAACTCACATGACAAACTATTGCAATAAAAAGTATCTGTTTTTTCTTTTGTTGAAGAATTGAGAAAGAAATATTAACTTTCCAATTGGCTATATGCACCGTATTTACCGTCCAACAGCATTAGGAAAATTTAAATTCATATAATATAAAAATAATTCCCAGATATAATAGTGAGCGTTTTAGAACACAAAATGTTAGCTTTCATCCAATTAGATTTTGCAGAAATTCAATCAATATAATCTGCTACCATACATTCATTCAAACAGTAGTTTCATTATTGAATCTCAGAGGGGGACAAATGAAAATCCGAAATGTATTAATCTTTAGCAACACGTACGACTTAAGATTTTTAAACCCGGAAAACTTGACACTCTCATTTGTTTGTAACGAAGCTATGGGGAAATTTTCAGATTGACATCTCGCATCAAATATTTCGCAATCAAATATTTACAGATAATGATATTGAAATTAAAAATAATGTTTTCACTTTTCGTATGTTGTGACCTAAAAATGTCCAAATAAAATCTAATTGAGAAATTATAGTTTTCTCCAATTCTTCATGAGAAAACAGACATTTCTTTTTGTTTCTATAATGTTGGTCAAAAGTAAAAAAAAGTTACTTTATATTCACTTAATGAATAATTAATGGTATCCCCAGGTAAATCGACCTTTAAATATAAAGTCTCATGAGTTAAGATGGAAAGCCCCGAGTACTCCATCTCGAAATAAATTCAGAATTGGAGTGTTTTGTCATTTTTGAAAATTCGTGGGCAAATGGAATGAAACTCGGATTTTTTACGGAATTTTTGGAATATATTTTATCATGAATTTTCCCAGGATATCCCAATTTTCAAGGATCTACGTTGCCCTATTGAGATGGATTTTTTAATGAAGCTTCAAACGTTGATCAATTGCTTCCAAACTTGGAAAAAAAAAGTTCCGGGGTTTTTCTAATGTAAAAGCCTGTAATATTGCACGGATAATAATCGAACCACAATTATAAAGAAAAAAATTACTGAAACCCATTGGATCCCCTCCAAACTCTTTGTACATTGTTCCATTGGATGGAAAATCTTTATACATTGCCCCTCGTAATATTTCTCATCGCCAGATGGGACACCTCGAAGCCGAGTTTGTTCAGGCCCTCGGGATCGTCGTGATAGTGCAACACAGATAACAACAATGCCGACAACAATCACGACAATAGTCGCTCCAACGGGAACCACAACATTAACATCGAGCCAGGTTGGTAACCACGGAAAGAATCGTCTAACATCTGCATTTTTGACGCCACCATTACGTACAGGTGGTGCAATGGTCCCTGTTAATCCCAACAGAACGAAAAAACAAGAAATATTTCAATTACCTTTATCACTTCTACCATGTCCTCTTCCTCGTAAAACACAAATAACGATTACGGCAACGATGATAACAAGGAGGGCAGCAACTACAGGTACTACGAGATTTAAATTCGCCATGAATATCTTCATGGGATCTTCATCACTACTGCCGCCCCGGTTAACATCAGGAATCTCGCGAGCCGGTGCAATGGTGCCTGGAACAAAAATATTTCGAGTGTCATGTGTGTATTTAAATGGTAAAACGTAATGAGTCCACTCTTTCCACTTTGTTGATTGTGGAATTATCTCGTGAATGAGTGATTCTTAAAACAAAGCCATTAAAACCTTATTTGTGAGAGAATTTTCTTATTCACAAAAATGGTTTTTCGATAGTGTCTTTTAACATCACTCGTTTATGAGATAATTGCACAATTAACACAAATGTAATATTCGAATTATTACGTTTCAACACTTTGATACCGATTGAACTCTTTAATCACTAGCCCAGTCACCATTAGCACCGCGCCAAGAATCACTCTCGCCGATAAAATCACGGTCTGAGGGAATGCTTCGAATAGCCGTTGAAGCGAACTCACCTCCAGTTACAGTTAAAGTTGCAAATTCGTATTCTGCTACTGCGAATCCTGCGTTATTGTGAGCTGTTACACGAAGTTGATACCAATTCGCTGGGTCTAGATCAAGGACTACAAAATTGCCACCTGGTTTCACATTGTTCGATACTTGTATCCATTCTGCATGAGATCTAGGAAAAGATGCATGCATTAAACACATTAAAATTCGTCTGAATGTTTTGTGGTGTACTATAATCAAATGAATAAATAGGGGAGAGTGGGGCAAAAAACCCGAAAAACGACTATTTGACGCAATTCAAGCAAATCAAATTTTTCTTTCTTAACTTTTGTTTATTAACTTTTTTTTATTGTTGGGAGTGCTGATGAGAATAATAATTTTCGATTTGGTAGAAAAGTTTAATGGAGACGAAGATAGAAGAAGTTGTCCCGGAATTTTAGTCAACTATTTGTTGACAATTTATCTCCTCCAATAGATCTAACAGGGGAATGGGATCCATCTACAGAGATAGTCGATACGGTATATGGAGGTTTCGAATATCAGGGATTTTCCCGCACTACATGTTCATTTCCACTGAATGGAAAATTATTATTCGCAATTCTCATCAGTACTCCCAATAATGACACGAGTTAATAAACTAAAGTTGTTGAAATAATAGTGAGTAAAAATTTTTTTTTGCTTGAATTGCATCAAACAGTTGTCTTTCCACTGTATCGTTTTGCCCCGCTATTTCACTTTGCCCCACTCTCTCCTAATTCCATGAAAAATGGATAATTTCTTCTTTATATTATGACGTCATATAATGAGGATTTCAATGATAATATTAGGTGCTTATCTGAAGGGTGAACAATTTTCAGGAGATATATCAAGAAATCTGTTTGCAGCTAGCAGGATTATCTATATAAATGGTAATCAATTTAAAAGATAGATCTTGATATACATATATCCCCGAAATCATTGGAAGTTTTGTTGTCCATATGAAATATTTGCTGTCCTCTTCTAATTCCAACATATTTACCAAGAATTAAATTTGAAGTTATTTATCAGATTTTATAATTCGCAGGTTCACGTTAACAAAATTATATTTACTTTTTTTTGTATTCAACCACAAAATACAGCATAGGACATCCTCCATCAGACCAAGCATTGAGATGTAGTGTAATGCTATTCGTGGAAACCTCGATGAAGCGGGAAGCCTCCGGGATGATTGGTTTAGATCCTTTAGTCCTAGTATTCAATATATCAGACCTATCTCCAGTTCCGATTCCATTATAAGCAGTAACATAAATTTGGTATCTTGACCCACAGAATAGATTTTCAAGTGAATATTTTTGCACAGTAGAACTGATCTGCACCGTATCCCACTCGCCAAACTCGGGTTTATAGTGAATTGTGTATCCATGAATAGGCGTATTATCATTGGGATGAGGTCGCAATTTCATCGTTAACGAGTTTGTCGTCGTACTTGTGAAAGTAATTTGAGGAGAATGCGGTGGGGCCTGGACAATCAGCTGATGCGTGACTGTATCATGTCCAAACGAATTTTCAACGTAACAAGAATATTCTCCCGCGTCAGCCCTATCTACTTCTTTGATAAACAACGAGCCTTCTGGGAGTTGTCTCAATCTGTCACTGGGCTGAAGCTTAGCATCATGAACCTTCCAGGTCACCTCAGGAGCTGGAACTCCTACAGCTAAACACGGAAGCTTAACATCTTCCTTGTACGTTGCAGTGAATTTATCATCAAAAGAAGCGATTTTCGCTGGAACTCTCGTATTAGGTGCTAGCGACACAATTTTTGAAGCCTCTCCCTCCCCAATGTTAGTACTGGCTGTCACCCAGAAATCATACCTCCTCTGTTTATCAAGTCCAGTGGCTTCGTAAGTCAGTTGATTAGGTGGAACTTTCTGGCTGACCGCTTCCTCAGCATTATCGGACTTAGTGTAGATAGTGTACTGGGAAATGACGCCGTTAGGTTGGCTCGGTGGTCTCCAGGATACGAGGACCGATTCCGGAGACATCACGAGGGCTTTCACTGCAATTGGGGCTTCAGGAGCATCTTGTTCAGTCTGACAGTGGATCGGGGCGGATTTGACGCCGTCACCTCCCGAGGTGAAAGCTAGAACTTGCATGGAGTAGTTGGTGTACTTTTTCAAACCATGGAGGATTGTCTCACTTGAGGAGGTGATCTTCGTGTCTTGGGAGTTCTCATCGTACCACGTGTCTGAGGGTCCATAAATAACTTTATATCCAGTGATCACACCGTTGGCTGCACTGAGAGGTGGGGAGACCCAGGAAACTCTGATGGTCTGGGAGGTCAGAGTGGTGCAGGTAGTGTCATGAGGGGGTTGTTCAGGGACTCCTTCGGCAGTGTGCGCTCGGCGCTCCTCTGTCATAGGACCGGAGCCGACTTTATTGAAGGCTTGTACAACCACACTATATTGAGTATAGGTTTTAAGATTCATTATTTGAAGGTGGTGCTCCTTGCCGTCCTCTTTGGAAAATTCAACTGTTTCGAACATGTAAGGTTTCTCAGAAGACGATAGACGGTAGCCAACGTAGTAACCCAGGATCTCGCCGTTCCAGTCTTCACGTGGCGGAGGTTTCCATGTTACCTAGAGAGGAAATTAATTGGAATTAGTAATCGCCCATTTCAGCGATATTTCATATTCTCATCGAATTTATTATTTGATTCGAAGTTTACGATCTAAATAAGATAAGTAATTATTCAACTATTGTGAGTGTGTCAATTTATATCTGAAACAAGCATTAGATCACGTAAACTTATTATATGTCATCAAACGAAAATCCAAAGTGAATTTATTATTTGTCATTCTTCTTGAAATTGTTGTACTCAAATAGGAAAACAATCTAGTAGGGAACCAATAGATATAAACTATTAAAATAATGAAACTTATTGTGCTTCTATTTCGTTGCGATATGTCTCGAACAGAGCAAATGTCCGGAAATACATGAATCTGTTTCGGGCCTATTATTAGCAGCGTGATCTTTTTTGAACAGATTTTGTATGTTGACTCGATTAGAATTAGTCGCAGATGGTCTCTAGTAAAAGTTGTAGAATCTCCGATAGGATTGAATTTTTATATATTGTTATGCCCAACGATGTATAATGAAGGACACAGGAATTAATTAAATAGATGGGGCGGTTTATTGTGTACGCAGATGGCAACACGATGTGTCTTGTACCAGAGCTCCAAGGAGAATCGTCCAATCTCCAAGTTATCCCAAAAGACAGGCGTTACCCAGGGAGTTTAGTGACATCCTTCAGATGATAGACAATTGCATTCTGATTCAAAGGGGGATAGGACCTCCAAAGATGTAGTAGGCGATAATAATTAATTATTTCTACTTCCACCTCTAATAATCATTCAATTGAATACCTTAAGAGTATGTTGATCAAGAGCTTCCACTCTAACAGCGCTTGGTGGACCTGAAGGTGCTTCTTCCGCCGTAATAATGGTGACCGTATCAGAAGGATCAGAAGTGCCAATTTCATTCTCAGCAATAATTCGAAGGTGATAAGTGGTTGCAGGTCTCAGATTGAACACACTGGCCACATTCTGCTGAGAGCTAGGTACCAGAACACGATCAACGTCAGTCTCCCAACTTCCCTTGCTCATTTTGTACTCAATGATATAACGTTTGATGGGACTGTTTCCATGATAAGGCGCTGCCCACGACAGTTGCACAGATCTTCCAGATTTATCTAAAACTTTAAGACCATAGGGGACCTCAGGAACTTCTTGGACAATCATATTGATGCTGGTGTCATCACTTCCAAACGCATTCGTCGCCACACATGTAAACAGCGCTGAATCACTCCTTTCAGTACGTTTGATACTCAAATCAGCTAAAACTCCATTAGCAAGAATTTCCTCACGAATTGTATACCGAGAGTCACTCTTCGGATCCAGTCTCTTATTGTTCATATTCCAAAGGATTCCAATTGGCTTTTCACCCTGTGCCTCACACTGCAGTACTGCAGGCTCTCCTCGTCGAGCAGTCTGATTACGAAGTTTAATCTCAAAGTGAGGTGGAGCTGGAGAAAAAATGTCAATGGGTCTCATATAAATGGATCATAGAATGATATGAAATTATTTTTCACGCCGAAAAAGTACCTTGAACTGAAATGAGAATAACAGCAGAGAGTCCTGATCCAATTCCATTAACGGCCTCACAGAGATAGTATCCTTCATTGGTTTTTTGGATATTATTGATGGACAGAGTTCCATCTTCTACACTTATGTCTGGGTTGTTAAGTTTCAAGTCTGTGTAATCGCCTGGTGTGTCCCCTGTTGGGCAGATAATGAATATTTGAAGTAAATTCATTTTTCAACAACATTTTCTAAACTCCGTAAGAAATTATTGCAACATTCCAATTCGAAATATAATATTGGATGTACATAGGGGAGATTGGCGCACAACGGCATTAAGGAAGGTTTCTCTTAATGATAACATTAAGAAATCCTTTCATTACTTATTCAATCTGTTATTGATTGTTCATGAATTAACTTGATAGATTATAAGTATTCAATGTAATTCAAGTTAAAAATATACGTCATTTAATTATCATGGCTCTAGTTTGCCAAAGAGTGGCAATAACGTATATTGAACAAATATTGCAATTTTATAAATAGTTGAGCATAAAAAAATGTAGAATCGAATATTTGCCTCATTATCAATCAAATAAAATATCACAACTTGAACTTACCAGCAGCTCTCTTCCATGTGACTTGCGGCTTAGGAAACCCATCGGCTTTACATTCAACTCGTGCATCAGACCCCTGAGCAAATGCTTTGTCAGTAGGCTCCAGAATCCAACGTGGTGGCACTGTATCAATACACACCAGATTAATATTAGGAAATAATTCGCGAATAATACCAACGAGAGTGAGTCAACCCAGGATTGATTCGAGATCGAGCTTCTCTCCAAGTCGAATCACCAATCCTTTAGCCGTTGTATGAATATCATAGTACTCAATTCATTTAACAAAAAATCAATTAACTTTACTGTGTTAACAAATCCATCAATATCCGGCTGAATGATTGCATCCTCGGTTGCTCTTTCGCTCATGTTACTTGCAAACACATAAAGCGGTTTACTCTCGCTAAAACATCATTATCTACGAATCATGCAGGAGGAAAAGACTCTATAAACAAGTACCCAAAAAAATGAAAATCAATAACTGAATCATTGACGAAAAAAAAAAAAACAATTAATTGCTTGGAAGAAGCTCATGCAGGAGGTTATGCACTCTGAATACCATCCATGATTTGTCTTTTACCACCCTTTATTGCTTAAAAAAAAATACTTGTTGAAATGGTGACCCACCCGCAAATGACAATCTTGGAAAATAATCATGCAATTACGACAGGTATCTACGAAACGAAAAGATGAGACGTGTGGGGTTGGGTTATCAGGTATTTCAAGGAAGTGCAGTGTAAGTGAGGAGTGGGATCAAGGACAAATGGACCATGATAATGTGAGGATCAGAAGGTGAATCGACTCCGCGTATGACGACGAGATAGAGAAGCGCAAGAACCGGGCGAAAGCCTAATGAACAATTCTTGATCAAAGAACTCAATGACACTTCATCTCGAAAATCGCAACTATCAAATAGGTATACAATAAGCAGTGGCACGATAAAATAATTAACCAATCGTATCTAGCAAAATGTAATGGACCTTGATGAGTGCAGTCTTCACCACGAAGACAGAGTGGTATTGCACAGTGATAAAATTATCGATAAATGAACGATACATTGAATGAAAATACGAATGAAAATACTAATTTGCCAACTATTGATAATCATATGAATTCACGCAGCCATGTGAACAGGTAAGCCGAACTGGATAAAAACGAACTCTGTTCATTGTTCTCCATATACAACATTATACCTTACATACGTAGAAATACGTTCAACGTTCAATCATTCGTCGCGCGGACAAAGCCAGGGGGGATTATTCGCAGCGTGCGCCAGACCCTCATCTGAGAAAATACGGAATTGAGAAAGAAAATAACCCAGATGTGTTTTTTCACTTTATTGAAATAATAGAGAGCAATCGTGGAGTAAAATGACTGATAGATGACAAATTAGTAACGAGCATACATTGGGATGAAGGACTAATACAGCCGATCAGCGAAAAGGATCACCATGAAATGAAAGGAACGATCAGCGTTATATCAGCACTTTCAGGCAAATTACGAGCTCGTCTCTTTTCATCAAAGAAAATATATGTATGTACTGCCATTAATTTTCGTATCAATGACGCAAATGTTATTTCATTTTCAGCTTCAATGAGTCCATAAAGCCCGCTGGCTGCGATGCAAATGAAAAGCTTTCTTCGTTTCAATACACTGCGAGGAGAACGTGGTTTTTGCAGAAAATTAATTTTTAGATGGAGTTTCTGATGATGAAGTCAATAGTTTTTTACCCTTAAAGGAAATTAGCTCTCCGAGCGTAACTAAATCAATTCAGAACCTAGGCAATTATTTTTCACATTCTGATTTTGGCCAATCAGAATGTCGAATTCGAACTAGCATGACACATTGCCTTTTTTTCATTCATTCTGATATTTTTATCTATTGAAATTTACTTCCAAGTAAATTATCCCGCCAACATGGCAAATCCCATACTTCCATTAATTGCCATTTGAATGATGAAAATATCCTGTAGTCATGTTTGAGTTGGGTAGGTTTATGAAATTTCCGATTAATTCAAAATAATTTGGAAGCGAGTGCGCAGTATTCGAAAATTCATGTTTGCTATGCGAAATCAAGCTGCTGTGAATTGTACTACGTAAACAAATATATTGCGTTCTGATAGGCCAAAATATGCATGTGAAAAATAATTTGCCGAATACCCGCCGTGCTTGAAAATTAGTCGGATATTCCTCTCAAGTTTTCCGGGCCAAGACCATGTATAATAATACTAAAGAGATTATTGTCTTCGGCTCACATTATTCTACCATTGGTGTAGTACAAGTTATGTGGAACCCGAAGGAAAAAATCTCGCACTATAGTATGCCTGTAGGTGCAATTTGAAAATTTTAATCCCATTAAATTCCCCACTGATAGAAGGATTTCGTTATTATTAATGAGCCGTCTTAACTATTAGCATGATTCATTGATAGCTAACGAATGACATTAATAGCGAAGAAGCCTCGTTAACAGCAACTAAATCGTTCCACCTTTTGTATCAGTGAACACCCGTTTTTAGGCAATAAAACTTTTGAGAAATACCTAATTATTTTCAGACACTGTCGCAAAAATTATCTTTCTTAATTATGCAATGAGCTGAGAAACGCAATATTTTAAAAGATGGTATTACCAGACTCCTTTTTCTAACTGAGAAATTTAAATACATATCCGTCATACTCAGCCACAAGTATTCGTGATAATAGATTATGAATCAGTATTTTTTCACGAACCATCCATCATTTTCTTTCAATTCTCAGTTAATAACTTTCCAATCCAATTGTGTAATGCAATAACTTTAACTTCATTCGATAGTATGTCTTGATCTACATAGCCGAATGATTATTGAACTGAAGAACTCTGCTATTATAAAATATAAATTCGAATTATGAATGTACATTTCTGTCTCAAGCGCGTTTTTCTCTCAGTGTATTTATTAATCTCTTTGAAATACGATGCTTTTAAGATCTTTTCCATTGTAGCCTAACCGTGTACGCGCAATGCGGCCTCGTGGATTGCCATTCCTGAAGGATTTGTAGCGACACACGCATATGTTCCAGAGTGTTGGGGTGTCACTGGTTCAATTAGTAGTATGCTTGTACGTGGACCGAGTTTTCCGATGTTGTGCGGCAACGCCGGGGACAATGGTTTTCCATCTAGTGTCCATTTTAAGTCGATCGGTCTATCGCCAATTAATACCATGCAGGCAAGCTGTGCTGCCTGGCCCTCATAGATCGTTTCGTCCCCAAAGTCGAATGGAGTGATGCGAGGCAGGACTGCGAAATTGTAATGTAATGCAAAACAACGTTTATGGTATTGTCTTCCCTTATTTTGTTTCTCTGCACTGCGAATTTCCTTTGGAATAACATCTGCTCGTTGTTTGTTTTGAGACATGGGATGGGAGCTAATTGCTGGGAATGTAGTATTGGAAAATGTATTATTACACGAAGGTTATCTTCAAATTTATCAATCTATTTCTCCTGATTCAAGTGAGAGTTTTGTACAGGGCTGAAGCTGTTGCATTAATTATGATCATTTCTACGGTTCCAAGTATCCCAACGGTTCGCGGAATAGATGCACAACATTGATTTTCAGTTACACGTAAAAACAAAGATCGATGCAATAAATAATTCTGTAGCAAAATGGTAAGAGAGGACAGATCCAAAAATTTCATATGAATTGTTATAAAGAAAAAACTCAACTAGTAGTTTTTTTTTTTAAAGTTGACTTTTTTTTTTCGTAGTTCACATGTTTTCCTCAAAAAAGTTTCTGTCGACTGACTCCTCTAAATTGCGTTGTCTTATTGAACGAATTTCGAAATTAGTCTGTTCTTCCATTTGCAACTCATGTCCTCCTCAGACCTTTTCACCTGCTTTCGAAACATCACTACTGAACCATTCTAATCTCCATGACCACAATCTACCTACAATAACCCATTGTCAAAATGCCAAAGATTGAGACTCAATTTGTTTTGATAACAATTAAACGCCTTGCATAAAGTACCATTAACTTTCAGATGTGCACTATGCCTGGCCCGACCTGCTGGATTATCGGCAATACAAGCATACTCTCCTGCATGTTCTCCACTAACAGCGGGTATCGTCAAAGCCGATACTCTATCACCCATTGACGTAATCTTAACATCATCACCGACCACTAAATGACGTCCTTCGAATAACCACTTCAACGAAATTGGAGAGTCTCCCTTCATTGCCGCACACTGAATGATAATAAGATCACCGAAGTTGGTCTCATCGAAGGAAAAGGGCTGGAGATGTGGTGCAACTGCAGAGAATCATTCATTTACAATTTTCTTGAGATTTGAAACGAACAAAAACATCTCACAGTCGTAGATTTGAGGCTTTCGCGGCCATGATTGTTGATATTATTGGCTACCGGATGAATACCGCGTTTGGTTTCGATATTGCGTAAACAGTGCAGTCTACATCTTTAGGGCTATGAACTCTGAATCTGAGCTCCAATATCTGGGAGTAGTCTTTATTTGCCTTCTCATCCATTGAAAATCATGGTGGGGGATGAGAAAAAAACAGGGGGGGGGTTCGTGTTTCAATCATGGCTTTCAATTAGATACCTGATCAATCACATGATTGACTGACCCCCCCTACCTTGTTTTTCCCCTGCCACCACCGATACTTTCAATGAAGGGGTAGATATAAACGGACTGCCCAGACATCGGTTCTGAGTTCTGAATCTGAGCTCCAATATCTGGGGGTAGTCTTTATTTGCCTTCCCATCCATTGAAAATCATGGTGGGGGGTGAGAAAAAACAGGGGGGGGGGTTCATGGTTCAATCATGGCTTTTAATTGGATAGCTGATCAATTAAAAAACATGATTGACTGCCCCCCCTCCTACCTTTTTCCCCCCGCCACCACCGTTACTTTCAATGAAGGGATAGATATAAATGGACTGCCCAGACATCGGTTCTGAGAATCGGAGCTCATAGTCCTGAAGATGCAGACTTCAATGTTTCCGAAACGTTGGCGCAATGCTGAAACCAACCGCAGCATCCAGCCGAAAGCCGATGATCTCAACATATCAGAGTGTTTAAGAGTTCACTGGGATTGAACAAAAAGAATAAAAATGTACTAAATTACAATAATCAATGCAATTC